TTATGTAGTAGATACTATTATTGTCACATTTACAGACAAGGAAATTAAGGCTTACAATGGTTAACTAACTTGCTCCAAAGTCATATAGCTAATTATGTAGAACTGGGCCTTAAACATCAGACTGTCTGCAATGTGAACAGATCTCATGCTAGCGATGATAATACCATGTGGTCTATGCCCATTCATCCTCATAAACTAGTGGCTGTATCAGATGCATGGAGAGATTGTGAAACAAGAGGAGGCATACTATGATGCAGGTGTGAGAATGGTATTCCTGGGGGGAAAGAATGGGGCAGCACCTGTCTTGGGAGAAGCAAGCCTTGATTAACAAGGAAAAGGGAGATGTGTCTGAAAAACAGAGAGAATTAGAGCAGCTACTATGAAGATACAGGGGCAAATGGCATTGGGTGGACCAAGAGTAACTGGAACCTGAGAGATAGATGGGATCCAATTGAGAAGAGTATGTTCTGCTCCCAGCCTCCCTTCCCCTATCCCACACCCCATACCACACACACACACACACACACACACACACACACACACACACACACACACATCTTTGCCCTTTTAAGTAATTATAAAGCTAAGGAGAGACATTCCATTTCTGTCCCTGAAATTCTCAAGAATTCCTAGAAACCCACACAAATAAACATTAGAAAGATTCACTTGTGACCAACAAAAACCTACCTTGTCTCAATCCCCAAACTCTATTTTCTGTAGAGAGCAAAAATTATTAGTCCAAATTCTTCAAGCTTCCCACCCCAAATACACCTACCACGACAAATAATTTCTCCCTGGCTTTGCATTCTCTCAGTGGTGGCACAAATGGTTCAGACTGCACCATGAAGCCTTTGTTTACATAGAAAGGGGCAAAGGGCAGCAGATCTTCCTGTCTACAAAGCAGATAGGAGGCCCTGTGGGATACAAACCAAGTGCTTTTGTTCACTTTGGGGGACCATGGTCCCCAGTGAATTGCAATGTTCTGTTTACTCCTCCTCTCTTCCCACAAGAAGCCGGAGACACCTCCTTGAAACTGGGGCTGTATCCTAAGCAACCAGCGCAATACCTAACCCAGAGTAGGCACTTGATAAAAATGTACTAAAATGAATGAATAATGAAGACTTATGTTGGCCAAGATAGTTCAGTGCATGTGTTGGGAGAAAACTAAAATAAAACCACTTTTTTTTCCCCGGTTTGCCCCAGCCTCTCAACTATCTGACTTAAAGTTCTGAAGGGATGTGAGGGTGAGGTTCCTGGGCAACTTGACTCCATGCCTCCAAGTCCCAAATTTATGGGTTCGGGTACTCTGAGCAGCCCATAATTCCTTATAAATGTGAGTCACTCAGTTTCTTGTACACAGATTTTCTAATGACTGTTCACCACCACTTCCCATTCCATCTTACGCCTACCAGTAAGGTTTTAAGACATTAGAAAAGCATGTTTACGTCTTATTAAAGTGAGAAAACATCAACCCTGGAGAGACAGACTGACCACTCCCTTGATTCCTGACTGATCACAGCACTGTGACAAGCACAGTGGAGAATAAAGCAGCTGTTTTGCCCTGGGTGGACACCTATGGTCTAGCGTGTGAGAACTGAGTCAGCGCACTCATGTGGTAAGGGTCTGACAGAAGCCATACAGAGGTAGAGGGAAGTGCTTAATTGAGTTTGGAGAGAAAGGTTTTTCAAGGCAGAAGGAGCCACAGGACAAAGGCTACTGAATGAGCATGGGAGATGTGAGGATAAGCAAAGATAAGCAGAGGATCCAATATGGAATTGGCAAGGGTAACAGTGATGGTGACTTTAGATATGCCATGCTCAAGAGTATAAACTAGGGTTTACAATAAAACACTACATCTCAACTCCTCTCCATCTCTACATGCAGGCCAAATGTACCTCACCTATACAACACACTCCCTTGTCAGGTTTTAAGACATTAGAAAAGCGTGTTTAAGTCTTATTAAAGTGAGAAAACATCAACCCTTAGACAAACCCAGATCAGCAGCTACACTGTCCACTGAAAAGACTGAATTATAGGCATTCCTGGGCTTCTTGGTTCAATGGCACCCCTTTCTCCTCCATCTATGATTCCATCTCAGAAGCCAAGTGAGTGGAATTGAATTGGCATAACCATAATCAGATTTAGTTTTCTAAAATGCAAATCAATAAAAAATGCCCTTCTTTAATTGAAGTAACTTCAAATTTGCAATGCACTTCACCTTGAACAGTGATTCACCAATGTGGGGTGACACTGCTATTGAAATCCTCCCTGTTAGATCCACAACAAGATGGCATAGAATCATGCTATTAGCCCTTTGTTCTGCTTTCCTTATATGCGGTTAGGAAATAGGGCAGTGTGGAGGCTCACTTAAGTGAAATAGCAACTGGGGTGCAAATAAAAATAACCACAGTCTTGTCTGCTGGCAAAATCAATCAGGAGCAAACTTGAGACAAGGTAAATCAAGGAAGGTTTAGGTATGGAATGGTGTTTCAGTTCTTACAGAAACTACCCCCATTATGCCTTCTGTATGAACTCTTAATAGTCTATGTCAAAGAGCTTTCCCCATGTACCTAAACACGGACCTTTTTATTTAAAAAAAAGAGTCATGCTCTTCTTCCTGCCAAAAATGTGTTCCAAACTCTCTGAAGGCTGCTTTAAATATGGTCAATGATTATAGGGCAGGCTGAATTCTATTTTCTTAGGAGTTGGTTCCTTCTCCCTCTCCCCTATTTTAATTTTGACCAACACCTTTCACTTCCTAAGACAGGTATCATCATGGCTTACAGCAGGACTCTGTTTTGCAGCATAAACACCTTTACACGCTTCCTCCAGGCTGCCAACACCCATCTCAGCCATGACTACCTCCCCTTCATCAGACCAGCACCCCTTCTTATATGGTTAAGTGTTAGAAAGACCCTGTCCTGCATGTGATTTCCCAAACATAACCAGAGTTGTAGAAAAAAATGTTTTCATGTAAAAGACATTTCTACTAGGTTAAGATCAGTTAAGAAATCTACCCCAAATTATTTTTGCTCTTTGCTCACTTTTCCCCACTCCTGGTTAAAGATAGAAACACAGTTCTGGGGATTGGCCCACTGATGTATTTTAGAACAAAAAGCCAAAACAAACAAAGCTGAGAGTATGAGTGTCATAAGGATGCTAACTCATGGTTTCTCAACAGTGACTGCTGAGAGCAATGCATCACCTGTCAGGTTTCATATACACCAGAAGCCTCTCTAATTTTTTTCTCAGTTGACCTCACAAATCAGCTCTTATTCTGAATAAGCACAAACTCATAGGCTGACATCTCCAAAGGTCACATGGGAGATCACAGTTCCCTTTAGATGGTGTCTTGAAAGAGTCCCTTTCAAAATCTATAAATATATATAAAAACCCAGCGACCATTATGTTGGCACGACCAGAATGACCTGTCGGTATGATGCGCACTAACCACCAGGGGGCAGATGCTCAATGCAGGAGCTGCCCCCTGGTGGTCAGTGCTTTCCCACAGCGGGAGTGCCGCTCAGCCAGAAGCTGGGCTCAAGGCTGGCAAGCGCAGCAGTGGTGGCAGGTGGCAGCACTAAGGAGCAGTGAGCCAAGTGGTAAGGAGCAAGTAGGTGGGTGGTGAGGAGTGGTGAGCCAAGCGGTAAGGAGTGAGCAGGCCGGCGGTTACAACTGAGGGGTCCCAGATTGCGAGAGGGCACAGGCCAGGCTGAGGGAAGGCCCCTCCGCCCCCGTGCATGAATTTCACGCATCGGGCCTCCAGTTCTTATATAAGTTTTCACCTGAAAGTAAATTTAACATAATATTTACAGTAAAATTCTAATGATCTATAACAGCCCTTGGGGGTGGGGGCGGGGAACATTTGACTAAAGCAATTACTCTTGGATTTCTCTGAGGGGCTAGAGCAGTATTAATTGTTCCTTCAACAAAATTTTTTTTTTATTTCTTTAACTTTTTATTATCTTTTAGTTCAGTTTACAATAATCATTTGTATCTGTGAAAGAATTTAAATTTATTGAATAAAAGGCTTTGCTTATGATTTATAAAGCAAACTGAAGAAAAAGTTGTTGAATGGGAAGCATTTAGTGAATTAAATAATAGAGTTCTGGGGATCTATAATTGATGTACATTTGATTGAAAAAAAAAAACAATAGGTTACCATAAATATTTATACAACAACAAATGTAGAAAAACACAAAAAAGTTCAATGTGATGCCAACAGAGTACCTTTTTCCTTGAGCATAAGAGAACCAAATATTGTTAGAATCTAAAGCTGTTAAGTTTACAGAAGTGCAAAACACCAAACAAAAACTCTTTATTTCTCATTTTCTATTCTTGGCATAAATTTTCATTTTTTTCCAGTAGAACCAAAACCCCCTGAGCCCCTTTCAGTGTCATCCAAAACTTGAACTTCCTCTATTTCTGGATAAAAAATCCGTTCACAAATGAGCTGTGCAATTCGGTCACCATTTTTACTTCAAAATTTTCTTTGCCAAAATTAAATAATACAACACCAAGATTTCCTCTATAATCTTCATCTATAACACCAGCTCCTACATCTATAAAGTGTTTTGCAGCCAAGCTGGAACGTGGAGCTCCTCTTCCATAGCACCCAGAAGGAAGAGCTGTCTGAATGTCAGTTTTCAGAAGGGTTTTCTCCATGGGTGGCATTGTGTAATCATAGGCACTGGACAGATCGTAGCCGCGTGCGGACCCGTTGGTGTGGGTGGTGGCATACTCCCACAGCCGCATGATGTGGAGCTGCAGGCTGCCCTCCTCCGCATGCCGGTTGGGGGGCCAGGGACCACCCGTGGCCATGACTCCCTAGGTACTCTCAACAAAATTTTATTGAGCATCTCCTTTTGTTATTGGAGAAAATTGTAGATGGTATTTCTCCTTTGCTAGTGGGAGTAGGGCTCTTGAGGTGTCATCGGAATAAGTATTTCTGGAGGCCCCTATAGGAGGATGAAATGTGGTAGAAAGCTTATTTTCATGGAATTATATCCCTCAGTTTCAGAAGTTCCATTTCCCTTAATCCAGTCCTGCGGATTCAGTAGAGCTAGCAGCAAAGCCAGTGTCCAGTTTCCGTTCCATGGTGGAGTTGGGTCCGGTTTAGCATTAGGCTAGTTGCAGGTCATCAGTCTATTGTGTGGGGTCCACATGGCTGTGGTCTATGTGGAAGAATGCAAGAGTGTGAGAGCCCCACAAGCCAGGAGCATGGACTCAGAGCATAAGAGGCAAGAGCAACAAGAGAGAGAATGCCCTTGTTTAGGAGATTAAATATCTCAAAGTTCATGCCCTTGTAGTAGCCATGCCTATGCTGGCCAATGACCTGTTCCCAGGTGTGACTGACAGACAGGTACCTTCCCTATATCACCTAGACTTTACTGGGCATGTGTGTATTCTTCTCCTGTCCAGTCCCTTCCCCTATCAATCTGCGGGTAATAGACCTGGAGAGTGTTAAACTGCAGCCTCCTTACAAGACTGCACAAATGAATGCCTACCAAACTTGGCCTTCCCTTTGCTCCTTTCCAGTTATTCATAACTAGGTTAATTTATAAGTTTGTCTCAGGTGTTCATCTTATCACTAAGCAGTAGCAATAATCAAAGACACGGTCCCCGCTCTTAAATAAAAAAGATTATTGCAGATGTGGACAAAAAATGGCCACATACTAAACCTGACAACCTCGGGGGAGGTCTGCATGGTGGGCCTTACAAACTCAGAGACCTAAAGTAACTACATAGGATGGTCTGAAATTAAAACTTCCTAACTAAAAGCGAGTTATGGCAGTTTGTGAGGTACTCAGCCAGCATCTTTCTTGACAAAGGGAAATCTTTACCTTAATTGAGCCTGTCTATTGTCTTTCTGCACATGCAATAACATGTCTTGGAAATGTCAGAGTAATCCCCTTTTTCCAGATCCCTCAGGACACAACCTCCCACCAGAGCAGGAGACCACAGTACCTTTCTTGTTGTTATCTTGTTCTCCCCATACCATGTCAATGTGCTGTAAATGTTAACTGCTAACCACCAGGCTTAGTCACTCTTCTAAGTGCCTGGGGATGGGATAGGAGGGACTAGGGAGATGGTCCTGGACAGATTGAAGTGTTCCCAGTTCTACATCTGAACACAGCTCACATTTACATAAAAGGCTCTCATACCTGCTATCCCCAGGTGTCCTGGTTTGTAAATGTAGTTCCCAGATTCTTCTCCTTGTTCTGGCCTTGTCTATTCTCCAGAAAGACAGGATGTGCTATCCTCTGTTACAACTTCAGTTTCATTAAGGGTTCTTTTGTAGCAAGTAACAGAAAGCATTTCAAGCCAGCTCATAGACAATAGTGGGCCGAAGGTAAGGATATTGTCACAAACTACAGGAATCCAGAAAAAAAGGTAAAGAACAAAGATTTAGCAAAACACAGGGAATTAGTCATATACGGTCTTTCTCAGCAATGAGTCTCTGCTTTCCCATAATATCTTCATGCATGCGGCCCCATAATGGCTGACTTAGCCCCATTGTTATATAGTCTTTCAATGTAAAGGTCCTTCACATACTTGAAAACTTCTATAAGAAATCAGGTTGATTTAGCTCATCTTTTTTAAACCAGGCCACTCAAGTTACCAGCTTAACTGCCCAAGTCATCTATGTCCTCCAAAGGGAAGTTACTCATCTGAGTCTGGGCAGAATGAGATTTTCTAAACAGGGACCAACATAAATCCAGTGTACTGATCCTAGCAGCAATATGCCAGGTGTTTTTAAGATCTTAGGAAATCCATGCTACTCTTACTTATAGAGGATCTTTTCTGTGTTCTATTTAGTGTATTTTAAATGCTTCCACATTCCACATTAGAGGTTATGTAAACTGTTTTATAATTGAGTTGCAGCTGACTAGTAGACAATGTTACACTGAAATTATGTGATATTTTACAGTTGTTGTTTTTTGTTCTGTATTTCACAGCTAATAATTTTATTTTCAGAGTATAAACATTTCATAGCCTCCTGAAAAGCTTGTAGGCACATAGGCATGGCCCCAAAACAAACCATACTCTCTGAACAAAGAGGAAGCACTTAAGATTCTTGGTTTGTACAGAATAAAATAATCTCAGCTGATAAACTCTGGATCAAAGGTATCCTCACCTGTTTACCTGTCTGCCTATGAACATGTGCTGACCTATATGAATACACCCTTTGTTTATGTTATCTTCTATGTTGCGTGTAAGCTAATGGGAAAGCTAATTACTAAACTCTGCAAAATGCACCAGAGGCTACTGTGAGAAACGCATGCCAAAAAAATCTAAAAATAGCTAAGCAATAAATAACCATTTGCAAATGAGAACTGTTCATGCAGTTTTCTAAACAACAGCAGATTTCTTTAAGATATTATGGTTTCCCCTGGTATTTTACTAGGTGTACTAAATCTTCCTTACTCAAAAGCAGATAATTCAAATAAGAGTGCAGCAATATTGACTGGATCCAAATTAAAGTTATTTTGAAGACAATATTGAACCATTGCTTTCATCTTAGAATAGTTTCACACGAGCATATTCTTCTGAGTTAGTTAAAAGCACCACAAGAGTAACTTCTGAGAGGCAGAGCATCCTATCAATTATTTTATTTTATTTTATTTATTTAATCCTCACCCAGGAATATTTTTCCATTGATTTTCAGAGAGAGTAGAAACATTGATGTGAGAGAAACATTGATTGTTTGCCTCCTGTACGTGCCCCAACCAAAGCCCTGGCCAGGGAGGAGCTTGCAACTGAGGTATGTGCCCTTGACTAGAATCAAACCCAGGACCCTTTGGTCCTCAGGCCAATGCTCTATCCACTGAGCCAAACTGGCTAGGGCCTAGCAATTATTTTAGATTATTACATTGCTAACAATGTAAGGGCCCCTCTTCAAATAATATCTTGATTTTCTAGTGTTTCATTTGTTCAGGCTATCTCAGAGGAAAACAAATCCTATATAATAAAAGCCTAATATGCAAATCGACTGAATGGCAGAATGACCTGCGGAACAACTGGTCGGCGGGGGGCAGGACTGGTGAGCAGGCGGTGCCAGGCCAGCCAAGGAGGGTGCCAGTGGGCAGAGGGAGGTGACCGGCGGTGGGGGGGCACAGGACCGGTGAGCAGGCAGCACCAGGCCAGCCAAGGTGGGGGTGATTGGGGTCCCCCCCCCACTGGCAGCGCCAGGCCAGCCAAGGCGGGTGCCAGCGGGGGCCCCCTGATCGCCCTGTCAGTTGCCCTGCAGAGGGAGGTGACCAGTGGGAGCGGCGGCAGGGGGCGAGGCCGGTGAGCGGGCTGCGCCAGGCCAGCCAAGGTGGGTACCAGTGGGCCCCCCTGCCGATCACCCCGCCAGTCACCCCACAGATCAGCCCTGATCGCCGGCCAGGCCTAGGGACCCTAACCATGCACAAATTTCATGCACCGGGCCTCTACTATTAAATAAGGGACTAAACTGGAGATTAAAAGTTCATTGTGGCCTGGGAATATGTTGGAGAAATATTTATATAAGAAAGCTACAGAGTTTTCAGAGACAGACTAATTGGAAAACACCAGAGAACTAGGGATTCTTCGCAGTGGTGACATGCCAACCTTTACAAACAGTTAAAACAATATTAAATATTAACCACAATTTAAAAATCAACATATGGAGGAGTGGGTTTGATAGGTGATAACCTGAGATGGTTTTTTTCTATCCAGGACCCAGTCAAAGTATTTAGTGCAATTTTTCAAGAGATCTCCAATTCATATGGTCTTCTGCCATCACTAAAATATATGTAGTTATTGGTCTGTCCATCTGCTTCAAACTTAGCTCAACAGAGTCCCTGTTCTAATAATATATTTAACGATGCAATTAATTTCTCCTGCTTTAACAGTGCACATCTATCAAGTGATGAACTTTGGCTCTGGTCTTAAGCTTAGAGAAAACTATAGCATACTCTCCTCTTCAAGTCAGGGGACGTTATTAAATATTTTATTCCTAAGTTGAATGTAATGTACACAAATAATAATTTAACTTATGATGATAGATAGATTTCAGGTTAAGAGCACAGCCTCTAAAATTATCAAATATCCACCCATTTCTAGATGTAAGGACTTAAGTTTCTTAAGTTTCTTAAATGTAGTGTTCTCAGTATAAAATGAGAATACTGACTACTTTATAAGGCTGTAGTGAGAATTAGACCAGATAAGTTACATGAAAAACAAAATGCACAGGACATTGAGTAGATAGATGATTTTATTGGAGCTACTCCAATATGGCAAACATTCATTAATGTGGAAAGTCTCAAACAAAAGGAAGAGGGCCTATGGTTTTATAAGGCAGATAAATAAGAAACTCATTTTGGAAACCTATGGGATCATTTGGAAAGATGGAGGTATTACCTTGGAATATGCAATAGAATAAAAATCTATGTGTATATCATAATGCTGATAAATAAAAAAACAGCTGTTTTTATTAAATCACAAATATTAAACAACTCTATTTGTCAAAGATTTACCTAAATTATGTGAGCGTGAAATTGTAAAACGTTTCTGATTTGGTTTTTGTAAGTAGTTCAATTCCTTTAATTTCTGAATATTCAATTTATATATGCAATAATTTATCTGTAAGCCAATCAGAATACAACTCCTTAAAGAAAGGAGTTGGGGAAAATATTATACACTTATACAGTACGAGGCTAAGGCTTGCAATGACAGACATAAATATACAGACAAAGAGAAAGAGAAACTCTATACCTTCAATTCTAAAATTTCAGTCACAGGTCAAGCATAAACACTGAAATGCAAAACTCACTGGTCTATATTAAAGAGCTATT